ATGACGTCACTTACCGTCCACCTGCAGCCCTATGGTGTACTCCTCCGTCCCGTTGTTCCCTGCCGTGTCCGGCTGCAGTACCGTGTAGGTCATGTGGACGTCGCCGTGGGGCGGAACAGTCTTAGCGATGAAGTCATCCCAGCTAAACTCCTTCCTGTGCGTTAAGGCATAGATTGTACATTATAACATTATAGGCTACCGGCCCAGTATCCTTTTATATCTTATGTATGAGCTGTCACTTTTGTATTCACCATAACATAATGAACTACGTAGAAAGACATCATCAAAAATATTATTCATAGTTCTAGACAACTTCACATATTTAGAGATCATTGACACACCATATATTAAAATTCTAAAGGATTTTAACGGACAATCGTTGATACCAAACGTCGTCTTACAATGATTTCCTTATTATGCTTTGTGTGAATCTTTTGCAGTGTCGCACATCTACTGACAAAAGATCTCCATCCTCTGAGAATGTAGCCTGGGTGTCATCCTCCGTAGTTTCCTCCGGCTCCCTAATGTCACTGACCTGGCTACGGGCGAAAACTACGGAGGATGGCACCCAGGGTAATGAAAATGGAACCTTACTTGAAGTCACAGTCCGTCTTGTTGGGGAAGTCTCCCAGCTTGCCGTACATGACGGCGGCCGGGTAGGGGGCCACCAGGCTGACCAACACTCCGTACGTCTGGTTCCTCCTGGCGCTGAAGGTCCGGAACACCATGGTGTCGTTAGGGAACGGGGAGTACTTCACCAGGCGGGGGGCGGGGAACATGTCAGGGGCGTTCTTCAACACCACAGTGATGTCCTCCGACAGGTCCTGCAGTAGAACATAAGGACTACATTTATTACCTCCATCAATCTTTTTTACAATTCTTAAATTTGTTTATCTGTGTTGTCCTTTCAAATGAGCAAACAGTGGTGTTTTGGGACACATAGAGACTGCTTTTGGATTCGAAGTTGTTTGGGATATCTCCTCAACAATTAAATTGGTTGCTAAAATATGTGTTGGGGATTTACATATTGCTTAGGCTTAAGCCGACGTTCTTGTCTGACAAACAGCATTTGTTAAAATCGTGGTAAAAGACATCACCTTGACTTTGAGGGTTCCTCTTCCCGGTTGCTTCAGCTCGATGTCCACGACCGACGACTTGATGTCCTTTGCGGACTCATCCCACACATACGGGTTCCGGTCATATCCAACGACCTACAATAAAACAACGGGTAGTTAGGATTTAACGGGTTCCGTTTATTGTGTGCCAGAGTGGCTTTCCTGAGCCGTCTTTAGGAAACAAACAGAAATACAACAGATGGCCATCAATGTCAATTGATGAGCATTCATTCTTCCTTTCACTTAAAAGCATTACTTTGAAATATAATCTTAAGGTTAAGGATATACTCAATGCAAGAATGATAGTTTATTCATTACCATACTGTCGTATATCAACACATGCTCTTGTAAATACACATTTCAATAACTGTAAATGCAGCAGTCACACACAAAGAAAGAAGCATCTGAAATTACAGTAAGCGCATTAAAAACAATTAAAACTATATCTACTTAATGCATTACGCAGTGCAAAGTACTTGCCTTCATTCCTGCATCTTCAGCAACTCCTCCTTCATGCAGGGCGTGCGGACCCGGGAACGTCACTCCTCCTGCATGCGCAGAGACAGCTGCCCCTCCCAGCCTTCCTCCTGAAGTCTTCTCAAGGACCATCTGGACAGCTCTGGAGCCGAGCTCCACGCGCCCAGCGCCGCCCTTGCTGTCCAGTAGAGCATCAGCGATGCTGTCCAGGTTCCTCTGCAATTCCTGGGTCACTTCTCTTTGCTGCGTGCAAAACACAGCAGGACTTAGTAAAGACGTCACGGAATACGAAAGCAAAAAGCAAGACCATCAGGATACGCTGGACAAACACCCGAAAACATAGAATTTTTCATTGTTGGGTACGCTGTGGTTACTTCATCTGTTGAAAGAAAATGGTCATAATGTTCATGCTAACAATCTGGTGATCAAATGTATGTCACTTAGATATCAGAGAGTTGAATATGCTTTATCTAGTATTATGTTTTCTAAAAAGAGAGTCTTACAATGGCCCATTGCCGCTCCTGTTTCTCTCGAAGTTTCTCCTTCATCTTCTGGCGGAACTCCTCCCGTTTACGCGGGGGAAGCCTGTGCAGAGCTGCGATGTCCTCCTCGTCCTCTGAAACTGCCTCCAAACCTCCCGACTCCATCAGGGATGCCACAGTGTCCACCATGGCTGGAGGAAAAGAAAACATGTCAGTACTTTGTTTTTTAACGTTTCAACTTTGCAGGACACACTAGACTTAGGCAAGAGTGTCAAACAAAAGACAGCCGGGAATACCTGCAGCCGTGGGAGCGAGTTCCTCCATGCTGGCCCCTCCAAGTGCACTTCGCTTGATGGAGTCTGCCATGGCTCCCACCACGTAACCTCCCTCAGCCTGTTCATCAACAATAACAACATCTGTGAGTGATTATGACCATTCTGTGAGTGATTATTTGTATTTGTTATTAGTTGTATTTTAGATTTATGTATGTTTTTATCTGGACAGGGGGCCTTGAAAAGGCACCGCCTGTTCCCCCTGTCCTGCCCTTGCGGCAAAGTTGAAATAAATAAATAAATAAATAAATAAACATCTATGGTAATTACGTTATGACAATGCAGGTATTGATATTTTCCACGTGAGATGACATCTGCGATGTTGCGAATTATACACATCAGCCTTGTTCATCTTTTTACCGAATCCCAGCAGTTAATCTGTCTTTTAAAACAGTTTATTTCCACCTGAAGAACCAGAAGAATAAGGATGGCATTAATGACATCATCCTTACCTGTGCATCTAACGGCAGTGTCCCACATAGAGCAATGACGTCCCTGGTTATCATTGCCAGTGTCTCAGTAGAATCTTCAGCTGAAGATGCGCGAGACAGCCTAGCGAGGGCTGCCATGGCGTCCGTGCAGGTTGTCGAGTCGACCTGAACAAACGAAAAGCAGCCTAGACGTTTTAGAGTGTTTAAGGGACCTTCTAGACAACAAGAGATCATTCGCGGAGTGTAAACAGACAAAGTATACTGCAAATGATCCTAACAAAGTCTGTACATGTACATGTAAATGTAGGTTAGAAAGGACCAAGTTTAAACTAAACAAAACTGGTCTTAATTCGTGTGTCTCACCCTTCTGTCCTCTGAGGAAGACCCTTTGTTGTCCTTAATATACGGAATGAGTTGATCCAGTATACTCCCAGGGTCGTCCTTGTCGTACTGCAGGTCGGCGATGGTGTTGATGGTTCTGGTTTGCTGGGGGCTGATTTTACTCGCCTCCGGTGGCTCCTGCGGATAGATGAAGACTTTTAGGAGTGGTTTGGTTTTGATGATTATCTACATGTACCCTAATTGTTGTTGACATGATAATAAGTTGCAGAGAACCAAAGGCCAATATATATAACTTCTTTTTAAAACTTAGTAGATGACTTTACTTACGTGTGAAACGAAGGTCACAATCGGTGTCGGGGGCGAGCCTGTGGTCGTCTCATCTAATTCTGAAAGATAAAGTCAACATCTGCAATCCCATTGTCTCGGTGCACCTTACCAATTAGTTCATTCACTATGGAAAAAAACAGTTACAGAACTACCTAACTTCTGCCAGAGGCTGGATACTTGGTTGCTTGATACTTTGTTTTGTGACAGTTGCACAATTGCTTGAATGTAATTTCAATTATTGCATCCACATGAGAAAGAAAAAAAATATAACGACATAATTTACCGATGGCATCCCCCTTTCTTGTAGTGGCCTTGAGGGAAGTACTGGTGGTGGAAGGAGCAGCAGAAGGCGTGGGCGTTTCAGTGCTGACAGTAGAAGTAGTCGGCGAGGTGGTGTACCCGGTGGTTGTAGCCGCCGTGCTCTTCACCGTAGTAGGGCTTGCAGGTGTCGTGGTTGGCTTTACCTCTGCAGTAATGTGTATTTGTACATGCCATTAGAAAAGCTGGTATATAAAAGTAAGGAAAAGTTAAGGTAGCAATGATAATTATTGTCTTATTATTATCAATGATAATCATCATATCATTATTAGCAATGATAATCATTATATCATTATTAACAATGATAATTATTATCCAAAAGATTTAAAAAACCTGGCCCTTTGCTACACACGCAAGTTGTTGCTTAGCTGATATTAGTAAAAAAAATAAATGTTTTTTTGACATGGCGTAATTGGGGGTCTGCCTAAATACCTCAGCCTACCTCAACCGGCAGTAATATGCGTGTGCTTTTGTCTAAGCGATTATGAATAGAGATGATACAGTAACTCTCAATATTTTTCGAGTTTTTTTCACTTATTACTTGTAATGGATCATAAGTAGAGTCGCAAATGTTCAAGAATTAGGTTATCGTCCTCATATAGGGAATGATACACCCCGCAAAATACCCAAATAAATTCATAAATATGTTTAGAGACGTTTCCCTGTATATCTGCTGAGTTTCCGTGCTGGACAAGCCTTTTTAATTTCCTTATTTTGATAAAAAAATTACCGCACGATGCGTTCTGGCAACTCGATGTAAACAAACTAGATGGCTAACTTTATTCCGCAGAGCGCACGACGCGCCGTAAAAGTCAGAGTAATAGTGGTTTCTAAACCATGGACACTTCATATAAGACCAAGAAGCGGTAGTTTGAGGCCGATCGAGGTCGGTTAAGGTATTTAGTCATACAGCGTAATTGGTTATAGTTATAATGACTGTCGGCACCGTGGTGGGTTGCAAAGATCCAAGATGGCGGTGAGAAGCACATCGGTCATATATCATCATGATCACTAAACATGTGAAGCTCTAAAGAAGCAGGTTCATTGTTTCTACATGCCGTTTCTCACATGTTGACTTCGTAAGAACCATGCAGCGACGGCCATTTTGGTGGGCTTAACATAGTCAAGTGAGTGCAAACTCTATCCTGAAGAAACCATAATGTATCATGTGTGTTATCATTTAGGATGTTGGGGTAAAGCGGCGTTACCTGCGCATGTTGTACCGTTCCCTGTAAACCCGTCCAGGCAGACACAGTAGTACGACCCTGGCTGGTTCACACAGAAGGCGTTCTCTGAACAGGTGTGCCTCCCGGAGCACTCATCGACATCTAAGGACAGAAAAGAAAAGGAAATTTTTTTCCGGCAAAAGACAAGATTTTGCATATCAGGCTTTTCTTCCACGTAGCACGACATATTATGGATTCATTTATTCTGACAATTATCATCATTAAAGTCGTCGCAGAACTCTGCATCTTTGAGAAAAAAATCTCAAGCAAATCAGTACGTTTCGTGACAATCTGGAGAAGTATACAGATAGCGTAGACATAAGTCGTCTTGCTGATTATTAGTTTTTTTATCTGTCACAAATATGCCGTACTCTGGATACCTCGCTATACTTTTGTGCTAACGATATTGTCACCTTCACATCCTGCTCCCATGCTGAAGCCTGGCAAACATTTGCAGTCATAGCTTCCGTTCAAATTGACGCATCCAACATCACGTCCACCACAGATTCCTGGGCTCACTTCGCACTCGTTTACATCTGTGGAAAAAATGACATGTTGTAATATTGCAACGGGTCCTTGTTGTGTTACTGGCTGCTGATATTTTCCTGTTACTGTGTACTTTTTTTCCTGTTCATTTTTGTCGTAGTTGATGTTAATTTGTACGGTTAACGATATTGATACATACCATTTACACCACTCATAAGTTAGTATTATCATGATTTAGTTAGTATTATCGTTAGATATTACCCTGGGCATACTGCATATATATGTAGGGTGCAAGATGAAGGGACTAGCCACAAATAAGACTAGCCATCTGCAAAAAAAACGTCGTGTAAAACCTACCAGGGAGCGTAGTTGAGTCGGGCGACGAAGAGCTCCTGCGGCCACGAAGAGACCCGCCCCAAGCGCAGTAGAATGGAAACCAGGCTAATCAATGAGCAAAACGTTACAGTATCACTCACCGTCACAAGCCAGACCATCCCGGTTCAGTGTGTAGCCGTGTTGACAGGAACACAGGAACCCACCGGGAGTGTTGGTGCAGGTCTGCTCACATCCTCCATTAGAGACCGCACACTCATCTGTGTCTGTCGTCAACAAGAATGCAACACGGTTAGCTTGGTAAGCCATGCACATTGTAAGTATTATATATGTATTCCGGTCTAATATGTGCGCAATCTAATTCACATCAAGGGCTAAATGTGGCAAATAAAACAGACTGTACTAACACACGGTCCTTTACTTAGGTGGATAGCTTAAATTTGCTATATATATATGTCAATTTAATAACTAATTTGACTCCGACCACTTCTCACCTCCACAGCTATGCTTGTCTATCTTTAACACATAGCCCTGTCGGCAGGAACAGTTGTAACTTCCTGGGACATTGCTGCAGTTGTGAGCACACCCACCGTTATCTGTTGCACATTCGTCAATGTCTGTAAAGGGTACAACAGCAGAGGCAATAAGTAAAAACCAGTAGGTTAAGAGCTGAAATGGTAATATTTTGTTTCCTTTACTCAGTATTCTAGAAAATATCAGACTGACAGAGTGTAAACTAAAGAGATCCTGTCGGCAGGAACAGTTATAACTTCCTGGGACTTTGGTGAAGTTGTGGTCACACCTGCCATTGTCAGTGGCACATTTGTCTTCTGCAAAGAGTTCAGAAAACAGACGAGACAAACAATTTTAGGTAAAAGTGCACTGGGTAAAGTTAGTGGTTAACCATATTGCTAACAAAAAAAAATTCTACATAAGATTATCGTACATGTTAATGTGGTTATTATTGTAATGAAACAATTAAACATTACGTGGTGATATCCACCAGTTCTGTCCTTTCATTGCTACATAATGTAATCCAACAATACAGAGTGTCTTTTAGTGCGTTAGTTACCATTAAGTAACTTTCCTTCTACTATGAAAAAAAGCGGTGGAATACATAATCAAAAAATGAATATGTCAAGAGAGGCCTGGAACCATTGTGATTTTTCCAGAGTCCTCCTGACTTTTTAAACATTTTCAAAGATAGACAGCACTCTGATAAAGCACCTCCAAACACATATGGCAGATTCGTACCCGACATATGTATACAAGCCGGTCTAGGAATACTAATTACATACTATTAGTAGAAGACTCGCTTAAGCCTCAGTCATAACCTACCGAACGTGAAACTGCGTGGTGTCTACGTGCAAAAACGTGGGCAAATGTTGGTGATCAGTAAGTGTTAAGTACGGAATCCGCCTCCGTACGTACGGAATCCAACGGATTTGGGAGCACGCAGACACGCCGTAGTACTTTAAGTGCATGCAAAGCTTTCTCTGCGTGCGGTCTGCGGAAAAATACTCGAATAAAAGAATTTTGAAGGCCCATTCTGAAAGTATGCCTACTTTACTTCCACGCCAACGTTAAGGTCATTTGGCCAAGAGATAAATAAATTGAATCAATGTAACAAATGGAGGAGGACAAGAAAAAACACAAGTGAAAAACAACAATATTGTCTTTACACCACTGCTTGGTATTGGTTAAGCCATAAAAACAATATATTTCATCCATATGGTATGGGCTGAAATATAGCAAATTAATACATATATTTCAGCCATACCATGGTATGCATGAAATATAAAAACAGCATGTGTCAAGCACACCACTACGTGGTGTGGTGAAGCCATAATCACTGTACACGTACCTGCAATCTCCGCGGCGTGGCAGAACTTCCACCGTCCAGTACTTCCCCACCCTGTGGAGTATCCTGCATAGGCGATGGGTAGCGGGTCAGGGTCCCTCCACTGCATGAACGGCTGAGTTTCGCCACCCCTTCCAACAGCAATGGTTCCGTCTGAAGACCAGGTTATCCAGAAGGTTCTGTACTCTGTCGGGGAGTTGATACCTATGGCCGAAAATAGAAATAAACATTAAAGTACGTTGCATTACCGGTACTAAGTATTAAATGCAAAAAATACACCGGATCCACAGCAATGTTGAGAAGGAACCAAGAACCAGTGTTCACCAGATACCTAACTTTATCCAGAACCATGCTCAGGCGGTAGTCCGCGTGTATTCAAAACCATGCTCGGGGGCAAATCTTCGATCTTGGATGTGCGGAGACTATTCAGAATCATGATTCAAACCAGGACCAAATCAGACATAGCTATAGATAGACACGGATAGAAGACTTGCCAGGTGTCGATTCCACCGCATGGCTGTGGCCTCGCATGCTGCGGCGTATGACAGACTGTCCGTTACTCCAGCCACCGATGACGATTTCATACATGTCCCCCAGGTTCTGTCTCTGGGCTGAGAGCGCGACATGGACGCTGTGATCGGCCTGCACTTCAAACGTGAAGCGTGACCCCGCCAGGCGGCGCAGCTCCCAGCGGTACCGTTTTACGGTGTCCGTGCTGGCAGTCTCACAACCTGTAAGAACACAGACGTTTCGCCAGTAAAAATACAAGGACTCATTACAAGTGAAGAAGAAATGCAGCTATATGCCATCATCTTTGGCGACCACGCGACTTCAATACTGTTCAAAATACTATGTTTGACAGGGCAGGACGCAATCCAACAGAATATTATCCGCCTGCGCAGCAAAATATTATAGACATGATACTACAGATAGACTTTGTAGATGTTCGGCGCTTTAAACACACAAAAAAAAAACACTGTGAAATATAGGTACGTGGCGTAGGCGTCACCAAGCCAGGCGGATCGACTATTATTTAATCTCTTTTCCTCTTCTCACCAATGTTGTTATTTAATATAATAATACAACTATTGCAGGAAGCTTAAAATCGGACCATAAGGTCATCTGTATTTCCCTTCAAACGGCGATTTTTCCCAAAGGTAAAAACTACTGGAAATTTAACGAAAAAATTTAAAAGATGCTAAATTTGTAAAAAAAGGGGGCTTTATAAGAGAATTTTTCCAGGACAATAATGGAACACGCGACCCACTAACAGTGTGGGACACCTTTAAGTGTTACTTAAGGGGAAACACTATGAAATTTGCTTCAGATAAGTCCAAAAAGTATTCAAATAAAGAAAGCGACCTGAACTAGAAAGGCCGACATTTGTTCAGGAGCAAATGCAGCAAATGGCTTTACCACATCCCGCGTACAAAAAAATAGACCTATACCCCTCCCGAATAAATGGATGTTTCCCGTGGTGTTCGACAGGGCCTGGGGACGTTCCCTTTCTCCTTACTTATTTATATTCTTATGTGTAATGTTGTTAGCAAAAAAAAATCAGAACCAACGAACACATTGAAGGACTGAATATACCTGTAACCCTGGAAACTAATGTATCACAATACGCCAATGACTCTAATTTTCCACTCCAACTTGAACTACAAGCACTACTACCGCTCAATGAAGATTTAAATGAATTTGCAATAATCACCGGTGTAAAACCAATTTTCGACAAGTGTATAATAGGTACTTTAAAATTAAAAATACACATTTGTTGCCCTTTCAAATGGACAAATGGTCCTGTACAACTCCTAGGGAATTCCCTGATACAACACAACTTTAATAGAAAAGTACAGAAATAGACTTTTTACAATCATAATGTATTTGGGTGCATTACATTTTAATTGGGAAAAAATAACAAAGATGATCAGGGCACAACCGTAAGCAAAATACTGATTTGCTTATTTACATTGTTATTAATGGTCATATTTATATACAGCGTTAAACATGAAGTTACACATGTGCCATGTCATAGGGAGCCTGATAAGAAGCACATTTAACAGGTTTTGTCTCATTGCGTGGTTTCCATGTGGTTCGTGACATTGTTGACATTAATCGTGAAGACCTCATAACTATATATTTCTGCTGGCTGTGGGCGAACTAATGAACGCATTTGCGGTTTTTTTTCTTGAAGCCACATTTTCCTGATCATTACGGTACTTTCTTCAGCGCCTTCGATACGTGATTTAGCCTTTGTGAAGTTAATATAAATGTGCAATTAGGCAAACATGTGCACATAAAATGTCGCCATTCATTCAATAAATGCAAAGCTTTCTGTGTTTACTTGTGGAAGCATGCGTGCTCGAGGACCTACTGAAACCATTTAATTTATTCTAAGACTCCTTAATCTTATAGTGAAGTTTATACGAATTGTAAAGAAAATTGCCCTCCTCATACTCAATCATAGAACCACAGAAAATTAACGGAATAGAGTAAGTTTTTTTTGCGTAACAATATTGTAACCTCTAAGTGTATTCATTTATTATAATATCTAGCCTTCGGGCAATTCAAGAAACATATTGATGATATTACTGATAAAGTCACTTACCTTGTTCCTGAGAACCATAAACTTGGGACAACGTTACACAAGCACAGCAAATGGCGAACACAAACTCAAGCTTGAGCACATCCATATCTTCCACCGTTACGTTTGGTCCGAAAGAAAATATTCCGACAAAAATGGAAACGACAAGGGTGCACCTAAAGCGCACCCTCAGCGCGACCGTACAGCCTTATACAGACTTTCGTAGTTTATAGTTGTCCCGTTGGGTTAAAAAGAAGTGAAACACTTTGTAAAAAGCTCGAAAAGACTACCAACACAGCTATAGTCAACTGTTTTCTTTTTTCTCTCACCCAGACGTTTTTCTCTGCGCGAGAAACATGACCACAGTTGACTGCGTTTGACTCGTGATACGGAGTCGCTGCCGACGGAAATTAATTTCGGGAGATGACATATTCAGACTGTACCCATTGCAAAGATGGGTAGAAATTGTCTTGAGAATTTTTTTTACAAAAAATTTATCTGACATTTATCCAAGTTAAGACACAAAATATTGTCAGCAGGATGTATATGTGTGGATGTATACATAAAAGATAATCCAAAACTGAATGGATGAACTTTATTCTTATATTCTAGAAGTCATTATTTCTTTATCACCCCTCATATGTTGCCGTGTCCCAAACATGTAATAACGTAGCATAGAGACATCTGTAACACAGGGACATGGATGGGATTAGAGTTAAGTGATTGAGTTTGAAATATTAATGATGGCAGCAAGTGACAACAATGCTCCATGATTACCTTTAATGACATCTGCTTATTACTTGTACACAATGGATGTTTCTATGGATACATACCGAATACCTATACAGAGAGAGAGAGAGAGAGGGGCGCGGACTCATGGGAGAAGTTAGTACACCGAACTGAACTCAGAGGTACAGAAGTACAAGTGTGTGTGTTTGTGCGTGCGTGCGTGCGTGCGCGCGCGCGCGCGTGTGTGTGTGTGTGTGTGTGTGTGTGTGTGTGTGTATGGTGTGTGTGTGTGTGTGTGTGTATGTGTGCGTGTGTGCGTGCGTGTGTGTATGTGTGTGTGTGTGTGTGTGTATGTGTGTGTGTGTGTGTGTTTATGTATGTGTGTGTGTGTGTTTGTACGTGCGTGCGTGTGTGTGTGTGAGTGCATGATGTCACCGCAGACGATATTAGTGTATTTGGGAATAAAAATTGCAATACGGAGAAGCAGAAGTAGCACAGCAACAGGCCCGGGTCTTTAACAAACAACCCTCACAACAACCACCGTTGCCATGGCAATGTTTGTTTTTATTATATTTCAGGTATGGATGAAATATATCGTGTTCTCTCATGTTTCTTCGTCGTCGTCGTCGTCGTCTGCCATTCCTTATAAATGGATTCAACTCTGTTATTTTCCAGCCAAATGACTTACAAATTTGTCATTTAGGGAGAGTGGGCCAATACCCCCAGGCGTTTTTTTATAATTTTTTTTAAATAAATGCCTTTGAAAATTTTTTATGAAGGTTTTTTGGGACATTTTTCGACAAAAAATTGATTTTTTGATCCTAAGCTCCTGGTATTACAACCAAATAAGCAGAAATTCGGTATAAGGGTACCTTGAACATGTGTCTACAGAATAGCAGTCACGTATTTGACATACACCACTTTCAAATGACTCATTTGGGGGACTTTAATTTCTATTTTCAGCCAAAAAAAAGGCCAAAAGTGCCATACCCGTTCCACGTTCGATCTAAAGAATGGCCCGTTCCATCTGCCGTTGGCCATCGAACACTGCTCAAACACATCGAACATTGCGAGTTACCTGGGGTCACGTTGCACGGAAGTCGTGCGCAATGACCAACGCATTCAATTTTATGTGCCTAAGATCATTGCGTCATCTACAATCACGACGATGAAATATGCCGACCATCCTAATCCTGAGTACCGCAAAGTGTTTCGGAAGGTATGTGTTGCGATGTTGCCGGGCCCTTAATAATGCAGTACCACAGACAAGCGGACATGTGATTCGTAAAATACGTCGATGAAGGTTAGACATCCAGGTAATACGATACGCCAAAAAGCAGTTACTCAAGCAACTGGATATGATTTTGAAAACGCCAGACGTGTCAGCTAGTATCCACTAGCTTTCATCAGTGACTGAGAGACCAGAGGGGAAATGCAGGTTTATAAGCACAACCTATTGATTGATATGCAAATGAAGTGAAGACAAATTTTTGGAAGTCGAAAATGGAACGATCCCCCGGATGATTGACGAAAGCGAATCGTCGGGGAGCAGTCGGACGAGACAGCGTTCCGTCAGTTCTTCGTCGCGTGACACAGAAACGTCTGGATTCACTCTCGACCTGAGGGCGACATCCACGGCACGTAAACAAGCAGATGCGTCCAGCGGTGAAGGCAAATGTGCAACACGTCCACGCACAAGGTCCAGGCAGCGTCATAAACATGAAAAGGACAAGCCCAAGAAAGGGGGACAAAAGACCTCGTCTTGTCCAACCAATGATCCTGAGTGGCTTGGTTTGTGGTTTTGTTTTTTGCGTATTTGTCCTAGTATGGGTTCGAATTCCTAGCAAATTGATGACGTCATCGGTCAAAATCTAAGATGGGGGACCATATAATTAGGTCTTATGAAACCATCTTTTTTCCACTAATTTTTCATATAAAATTCTTGCTTTTTTACACATAAAACGTTCAAGCATCTTTAATTCATTTGCATTGCGTTTTGAGGCTGCATCTTGAAAAAAAAAAGCAATTTTCGACATTCAAGATTTCTGATCCAAGATGGCCGACAGCTTAATTATGCATGTCTTTTTCTGACGTCATTTGACGTCAGTGTTGTTGCCAGCGGCAACAAAAGTCCTAGCAGACATTAATATTCTATCTTAGACACTTTTTGTTAAAGTTTGGTTGTATTCCTTTGAGTTTGAAGGAAAAAAAATTGACGGTTTGACAAAAAAAATCATATAAATGATGTCATAATGACGTCATATGACGTCATAATTACACAAAAATTGTTGTTAAAAACTATTATATTACTACATCATTCTCTAAAAATTTGGTGGCCCTACGATAAGTGGTTGTTGACTTACATGGGGCGGGCCTCAAAAGCCCCCTCCCCCCGGTCAGAGCATGCCCCAAAAAAGTCCGGTCTGAAAAGGGTTAACCCACAAAAACCGTTTAATTTGCAGCCCACTAATTGACAAGAACAGGGGTCCTTGGTGCGAGTGTCGGTGACGTCTCTCTGGTCCTACACACCTTGCACTAAACGTAAAAAGATTTTTAAAACGATTCCTTGTTCCACTGAAACGGTCAAGTCGTAATAAAAGATTAAAAAAGAAAAGCTTTATTTCTTGTTCGACTGAAAATGTCCAGTCAGATCCTTACCACGAGGTTTCTGAGCTCGGACACCTCCAACTCCAGCTGTCTGTCTGACATGGTGACGTGGACCAGCGGCATGAGGACGGCGCACACCAGCACCCCGCCCAGACAGCCTCCCGCCAGGAGCACCAGTCCCGTCCGCCGCCCGCCCTGCCTCTTGTACGGCCTGGTCAGACCCACACCAGCTAGGGAAGGGACGAAACCTAGATGGAATGAAACATCATGCATGTTTTAATCACAAATGCAGCGATGAATGTTGAATAAAAAAAAGAAGCGGCTATTTTCTCCGGTAAAGAAACGGGGCTGAAAATTTGCCGTAGAAAACTCTCCAGAATAGCCTACGTTGCCCCCCCCCCCTCGTGATCCATCGTAGTCCACTCCCCACGTACTGGTAGTTTTTTGGCTAAAACGGGTAGAGGGTGTCTGTTGATATTGCCTTCTTTTGCTGGTAATGAGGCTTTTACATCACGGTGAACTTAAAACACTCTGTTCCTCCTACCGCGCAATAGATTCCCAACGAATTTACAGTTGTTGTAGTTCCGTGAGTGTATAGGGTTATAGTTAAGTGTTGTTGTACCAGCCACTTACACTATCTATTTATAGCCTCCTTTGCAGACTTGTAGGGCGCGGTATTCATTTTTCGGGGAGCCCGACAGCGAAACCGTCCATCCCTGGCAAAACTCCCTCGGCGGCAAAAACGTCCGAGACCGATTATAGCTAAGTTTGTCTGGTTCAAAGATAGGGAAAAGGCTAGGTTAGCTGCCAAAAATTTAAAGAACACAGAAATTGGTTTATCGGAAGACTTTCCCAGACAAATCAGAGAAGTGAGGAAGAAGCTTCTCCCTGTGTTAAGAGCGGCACGTAATGCGCAACCTCCTAAATATGCTGTCTTAAACGTGGACCAGCTGTATATAGATGGAGTAGTTTACAAGGGCCCAGAAGCAAAACGCCCATACGCAACTTAGATTGATGAACTGGTTTATAGTTACCCCTCTAATTAAGACGGACGTACTTAGTTGGTCTATTTGTTTATTTATATTGTTTCATTATGTCATGTAAATTTTTTGTTTCCACGGATCCGATTTCATGCTTAGTACTTGACATTATTTTCATTCTTTTTCTTGCCACATTTGATGAATCAAAACAAAGGCTAAAATCTCGCCCCTTTCTGTGACATGAACACCAAGATTGGTTCTTATAATGCAAATGGTCTAGCAAACTCTCGTAAAAGAAGAGAGGTGCTTAATTGGCTTAAAGAAAAATCTCATGATATAATATGTTTACAAGAAACCCATTCAGTACTTAAAGATGAAATGACTTGGAAACAGGAATGGGGCGGGACAATCGTCTTCAATCACGGGACAACAAATCAACGCGGTGTTTTGATATTATTTAAAGAAAATCTCAACTTTACCATCAATTATTCTATGAAAGATGATGATGGGCGATTCTTGATACTAGACCTATCTGTAAATGATCTGCATTTTTGTATTTGTAATCTGTATGCACCAAACACAGATGACCCTAATTTTTTGATAACATAGAAAAATTGATAGTTAACCTGAAATTAAATCACAGTAATTTTATTATCGTTTGAGACTTCAACACGGTACAGAATGCGACTTTGGATAGAGCCGGACAAAACCCAGTAATATACCACCCAGATGCACAACGAAAAATAAACGAACTGATATTTGCTTTAGATTTGGTAGATATTTGGAGACATAAACACCCTCACACAGTCAGGTTTACTTGGCGAAGAGGAAGGCAAGCCAGCCGTCTGGATTATTTTTTAATATCTTTTTCACTTCTGGTGGATATTTCAAATATAAAAATTTTAGACAGACTCAAATCCGATCATAAATTTATTTCACTTGATATTCAAAACATAAGGCGTACGCGTGGAAAAAATTACTGGAAGTTGAATCAAACACTATTAAAAGATAAAAACTTTCGGAAGAAAACTGAAAAATTTATAGAGGAGTTTTTTCGATTTAATGTAGGCACGACTGATCCGTTAACGGTTTGGGACGCCTTCAAGTGTTGTTTTAGGGGACATTGCATCAAATTTGCCTCTGCAAAACGAAAAGCTTTTATCTCAAAAGAAAATGATCTTCAAAAACGGATAGACCAGCTAACCGTGATAATAGACGAGACTGATTTGCCGTCACAATCTGTTCTTGACGAACTTAGTGCACTGCAGAGTGAATTAGAAGAATTATATGAACAAAAACATTCAAAAATTTCTGGATTGGTACCAAACTATAAAAAATGCAAAATACTAAGAATAGGAACTTTAAGGAATACTAACTTTACCTTACCATGCAATCTCCCTATCTTATGGACAGATGGACCGGTAAAAATGCTCGGAGTTGGGATCACCGGAGACATAAATAAACTCACAGACAATTATCAAGATAGGTTAACTAAAATTGATAGAACCCTCCAGCCTTGGAAAATGATACCCATGACACTTTATGGTAAAATCACCCTCATTAATACCCTTGTGGTCTCGCAATTTACCCACTTATTTTTGTCTCTACCATCCCCCGGAAAAACTTTTTTCCAGACATATGAGCAAATAATTTTTAAATTCATATGGAATGGTAAACCTGAAAAAATTAAACGTAAAATCCTTTATAATACGTATGACAAAGGAGGTTTAGGACTAATACATTTACCTACATTTGACCTTACTCGTAAGGCTTCTTGGGTTCCAAGAATGTTCTCCCAGGATGACTCAAGTCGTAAATCCTTCTTAGATACATCGTCCGGGATATTTAGTAGACATTTGTACCCGTTTTTACAACTGTCCTTGGGGAAAGATAGCGCAACTTTCATGCCACCTTTATGTTCTCTGAGTGATACACTTTGTAAAAAGATACCCACTGATCACATGAATAATGTTTTTAATAGACTACTTGTCTCTCCTAATCCTTTCTTTAAAGATGTTCTTAAAGCATGGCTTTCTTTCCAATTTAAACCTCCCGAAACCGTACAAGAGATACAATCACAACTCTTATGGTGCAACTCAAGTATTGTAATTGAAAATATGCCTATTATATGGGAAAAACCTCTTAAACATGGAATCTTCTTCATTAATGACCTTTTGGATACTAATGGACGGTTTTTATCTTACAATGGCCTTCTTGCTAAATTCGGTACAGCATTTGATAAGCTAGAGTACAATCAGATATTATCGGCAATACCGCGAAACTGGAAAAAAAAGCTGTTAGATAAGACACCAGTAATAGGCCCTATCTTACCTCATATAGCAAATTACTTATGGTTGAAGCCAACTAAAATAAATAAAATCATCTATACATCTTTTTTGCAATCGGAAAATAGTGCTACAAACCCACTGAACATACAAAGACACTGGGAGGATGGATGTAATATAATTATCCCGTGGAAATTGGTTTTTAAATTAATTTATGCCGTGACTATATGCCCGAAACTAAGAATTTTTCAATACAAAATGTTGCACAAATTGTTAGCCACAAAGAAAATGTTACACATTTGGAAAATTCTAAATAGCCCTAATTGTGCATACTGTGAGGAAGTAGAGACCATTAGGCATTTATTCTGGGACTGCCCGAAAGTTGTTACATTTTGGACTGATGTAGAAATATGGTTTAAAACAACAGTAAATAAAACCTTACATCTGGACTTCCAGAAAATTATTTTAGGTGACATATCTGAAAACTGTAATGTGATCTAGAATTTGTTAATTCTATTGGCCAAACATTATATTTTCATACAGAGAGACAAAAAACTTGTTGTAAATCATTACATTTCGTATGTAAAGAAATATTACAAGACAGAATATATGATAGCAGAGAGAAGAAACAAATTAGATATTCATTTTCGTAAATGGGAGGCTTTCCCATTAAATATTGTTAATTAGTACGCTGTTATCTTCCATTTGTTCTGCTTCTTCTCAGCCTGTCCATATTACCTGTCATGTATTTTCTATCTGTTGTTGACATTGTGTTATTTACGTTCCAATTATCGAGTTTGTTGCCATTATTTACTTCTTCTTTTTGTCTCCCCTGTTGTTGCCTAATTAGTTGATTTATATATATTATTGACTTTGGTTGTTATTATTTCAAATTTCATCTTACTGTATATTCATATTGCTCTGTCATCTGTATTATGCTAGATCAAGTACTATTATTTCGAGTTTATTTCCCTGCTATTATCCTTGTTTTATCTCGATTGTATTTTTGGATCCGTGGATTATTTCTCTGTTACCATTATGTTATTACTTTTTGCTTTGTTCATGTCTTGTCTGTTCATGTTTTTGTATTTCGAAATGCTAATAAAAAAATTTAAAAAAAAAAAATCGTCCCTCCACGGCGTATTTAAACTGACTCGCGTCGCTCCCCGAAAAATAACGCCGCGCCCTACAAGTTTGCGAAGGAGGCTAATCTATATACAGTTTTGCTCTGGTTTCATCGAAGGCCGTCTCAAGGTCGGCCAGCCGACAGTTCGAAAGCTTTTCGTAGTTGCGTTTTAGATACCCTAAAGCACCTCCAAGTGAAGAGTGAAGGTACTGCAGCCTCTGGCTTCGTTAATCAGGCTACATCTAGCAGGTGACATGACCGCACTGCAGGTATATGTACAGGTACCTGTCTGGCACAGTTTTTTCGCTGCCCGTGGCCAAAGCTCTATAGACACACTCCTATGCCGACTAAAACGTTCCCTTCGAATTCTGCAGAAACGTCTAGATGGCCAACCGTGTCTGACATGTCTATAGTATACTCTTTCTGAGGTGAGTTTGATTGTGCAAGGTGGACGTAAGCCATTGGCTGCAGTACTGTCACCTGTCACTGGGCGGCGCTGAATCATGTCGCGGTCAAGTGCTTTCTGATTGTGCACAGTGGATAGAAGCCGCTGTACGTTTATGGTCTCATTCATGTATTACTCCGAGTGTACCCCCTAAAAGAGTACCAAGTCAAAAACTAAACGGCTGTGTGAACGTGTGTTTTTATTGGTGAGAATTTTCCCTTTAGCCAGCCCAACTGGCGTAAAACGTCAAAGCGGTGAAAGCTTGTTTGTAACTGATGAAATTAGGACGTAATTGTCGGCAGCCGCGCGCTAGGTCGGACGTGCACAGTCCAGTGTTGTGAGTTGTGCGGTCGTAGGTTTGCAGCGCGGAAGAGCCTCTTGCGGGCAGCCGCTAAGTGCAGTTTGTAATTCCCATAAAAAGGGATTGTGTGTATAGAAGTCGTCGGCAATTTTTTAATGAGACGTAGATTAAGTGTTGTTAACATAGCATGAAAGATATCAATTGATTTAATGTAGGATCATAGGGAACACGGCATCGAAAGACAGTCATTAATGCATGGTTTCTAATGTATCGAAAAAACTCATGAATGAGACCTTAATTTTCTCACCTGTGTGAGTCCGCATGTGTTTCTTCAAACTATCCAGCACACTGAACTGTCCGCTGCACTCCTCACATCGGTACGGTTTCTCGCCTGTGTGAATTCTCATGTGTTTCTTAAGATTAGCCAGATCGTTGAACTGCTTACTGCATTCCTCACAACTGTATGGTTTCTCACCAGTGTGGGTCCGCATGTGCTTCTTCAGACTTCCCAACTCACTGAACTGCCTCCCACATTCCTCGCAACGGTACGGTCTCTCACCAGTGTGAGTCCGCATGTGTTTCTTCAGATTACTCAGCAGACTGAAGCCTTTGTTACATTCCTCACATCGGTAAGGTTTCTCACCTGTGTGAGCCCGCATGTGTCGCCTCAGATAACTCAGGTAACCAAACACCTTGCCACACTCGCCGCACTTGTGGGTACGCGGAGAATCCTGATCTCCATGTCCATTCTCTCCCTTCTCTTGTTTCAGATGAGATTCAGGTTTGGTCGCCATGTTGGTCAAACTCCTAACCCTACAGGAACAAGTATGATTTGTCAATTTAATGGAATTTAAAATATGGTATAAGTGTGGACTCACGCCGATAAAACATCATATATATATACAAAACATATTCAGAACACGGCATATCATACAAGGGTACACCACTGTAGTATCTTACAAAGCAGCTACACTAGAGAACCACTCCAACTTACCCAATATCATTCAAGATATATGCAAAATATACAAAATGTACTCGTTACATGATGCACATAATATATAACCTTTGTCGGCCGATTTAAAATGTAACCTAAAATTAGGTGCCACATGGCAGTACTGATAGCAAGTAAATACAGAAAAAGAAAATAATAGTCGGCACTTACCAAGATGCACGGACGCTCCAAAGTACTGCACGGTGTTTTTTACGACGGCACAGATCCTCACGGCTGCAGAGTCAGTACTGACAGAAACAGAGCAGTCAGGGACGCGTTTATATAGGGACTGGGTGGGTGGATAAAACCGGTCCGGTGGGTTTACTGAAGAACGATACAAAGGAAAGCGCCATGCTGATTTGCATAGGAGAAATCAGACAATCATTAGATAAGAAATCATTAGATAAAGATACAATCAGTTGGGAAATAACGATAAAGACAACAACATGCATGTTAGGTGTTTTATCTTGTTCAAACTGAGATGAAAGGAAGATTGTCTGCATACAATGGGGGATGTTTCGTGTCGGCAGACTGTTAGATCTTATTTCATGAAAGGTCCATAAATGGCCGTTATAGTAGTATGAAAATGTATCAAACACCTAGCTTTATAGCTGTTAGTAAATTCTTCAATCAAGACGGCCAACCATGACTACGATCAATGCCTTGTAGCTCTAACCTATTTTGCACACAATGCAAAACACGTCAGGTGGTTGAACAGCGACTTTGGAGCGATTCTGCCTGGCGCGTCTGACCAAGAAATAAATTTCAGAGTCGATAAATGCTTAAAGACTGAGCAAAATCCATTTCAGAATAAATGTCTTCTCTAAGTTTTAAACTGACGTGTTCAAATTAATATACTCGTATACAAAAAATCCATTGTGATTAAAAAAATCTAATTCTACACACTATAGTCCCAGCAAATAAAAAAAATCTAAAATGACTTGAATAGCGGGCAACACCCTTATTAATTAGGAAAAGAGGACAACTTGGTCAAGACGGTGAACGCACCATGTTGCATGTGCTGATTTACATAGGAGAAATCAGACAATGTCCGTAGAAAAGGGTACACGACGGTTTTCACGACGGCACAGATCCTCACGGCTGCAGAGTCAGTACTGACAGAAACAGAGCAGTCAGGTGCGTTTATATAGGGACTGAGTGGGTGGATAAAACCGGTAAGGTGGGTTTTACTTGATTAGGAAACTAAGGAAATTATTCCTTACATGTGTCGATTTGCATAGGGGAATCAGACAACATCATTAGAGAAAGATACAATCAGTTAGACAATAACGATAAAGACAACAGCATGCATATTTTGTGTTTTATTTTATTCTTGAAACTGAGATCAAAGAGACGATTGTCTGCATACAATGGGGGCTGTTGAGTGCCAAAAAATTGTTAACTCTAATTCAATGAAAGGTCTAAAAAGGGCCATTATAGTAGCTTGAAAATGTATCAAACACCTAAAGAAGACAACTCTTTCCTTTTTTTATTTATTGGAGAAATTGAGATGCCGAAAGTTAACCAATCTCTAACAGCTTCATTATGTATCTTACACAACACTTAAAAAGAAACAATATTTACCAACATTCTAGTGCATCTAGAACTACGATATATGCTGCTAACTAAGCTAGATTCTAAGGATCTAGTGCTGTGTGCTTAGTTAAAAGTAAATCAAAGAAAAAAAGTTACCTAAGTAAGTGCTATAACAGACGGACCATGAGCCTTGATGTCAAACTAACGGTCTCTTACAGTGTAACTATGTCACTATTGTCTAAACAGTCCACAGTCACATTTTACACACGACTTCTAGTTCTAATCAACAGGCTACGGAGCATGCATTCGTAATTTTACAATGGAGACATGTACACTACTGAAACATGTACACTACTGAAAGAAAACAGTAAATAAGAGGTCACGTTGATAAAAGATATCTACAAACCTCTCTTACGACTGAAATGATACCAAGAAATAGTGATAAGTTTGTGATAGACGACAAGGGCCCAAGAGTGATATTAATCCTTACATGGACACCGGAAAGTCTTCGCTGGTGTGAGGTTGTATGTGGACAAACTGCCCAAAAATTTTCTACATTTCTCACATGTGTGAGTTGTTAACATTATGCATTTGCTTCGCAAATGTTACCATACTAATTAATTTGTATAATACCTTCAAACCTTGCTGCTGACACATATGATGCCAGATGATGTTGTGTTTACACAGACTTCGGCAGGCTTTCATCGGTGTGAGTTTTCATGTGGGTTGTCAGATCACGTGAATATCGAAATCAGATTCAGATTAGACAACTGAGTAAACTGTCTGCTACACTCCCCACAATTGTATGGTTTGTCACCAGTGTGAGTCCGCATATGTGTCTTTAAATGTGGCAGTGTCCTAAACGACCGGCTGCACTCCTCACATCTGTACGGTTTCTCACCAGTGTGAGTCCGCATGTGCTTCTTCAGATGACCCAGCCTACTGAACTGCTTGCTGCACTGTTCACACTTATAAGGTTTTTCACCAGTGTGAGTCCGCATGTGTTTCTTTAGATCTGACAAGTTATTGAATGACCGGCTACACTCCTCACATTTGTACGGCTTCTCCCCAGTGTGAGTCCGGATGTGTGTTTCCAGCTTACTCAGTGTTATGAACTGCCTGCTGCATTCATCACACCTGTAGGGTTTCTCACCCGTGTGAGTCTTTAGATTACTCAGCTGACTGAACCGCCTGTTGCACTCCTCACATTTATATGGTTTCTCACCAGTGTGGGTCCGCATGTGAGTGTTCAGACTACCCAGGTCTGTGAACCGCCTGCTACATTCCTCACACATGTAGGGTTGCTCACCCGTGTGGGTTCTGATATGCCTTTTCAGCTCACACAGCCTACCAAACCACCTGCTACATTCCTCACATTGGTACGGTTTCTCACCAGTGTGAATCCGCATGTGTCTCTTCAGAGTACTCAGCAGACTAAAGCCTTTCTTACATTCCTCACACCTGTACGGTTTCTCGCCTGTGTGAGTCCGCATGTGACGTCTCAGATCAGTCCGTTTAGGAAATTCCTTGCCACACTCGTCACACTTGTGGGTACGCGGAGAATCCTGCTTTTCATGCCCACTCTCTCCCTGCTCTTGTTTCAGGTGAGATTCCGCTCTGGCCGCCATGTTGGTCAAACTGTTCATCCTAAAGGAAGAATGCAATATATCATATCGATGGAATTGACAAGCGTGTATACTGTATAATAGTGGATAGCATGTACACTGTTTTTGTCTTCGGGCACATGGTTTGGTATGATAATGGTCACATTTTAAAAAAGGAAACATTTGACAATCTTAGCATAGACAAGTGTGGAAAGCAAATGGAACACATAAAGTTCTTCGCGGCCAAGTTTAACATACAAGCCCGTAGTCAACGACGTGCAAAAACCAATGCCTCCATTTTATGGAGGTTAACATAGGAAAACGAAATCATAGTTGACACTTACCAAGATGCAATAACGCTCCAAAGTACTGCACGATGTTTTCACGACGACACAGATCCTCACGGCTTCAGAGTCAGTACTGACAGAAACAGAGCAGTCAGGGACGCGTTTATATAGGAACTGGGTGGTTGGATAAAACCGGTCCGATAGCCTCTACTTGATTACGAAGCAAAAGAAACTATAACATGTTACATGTGCTCATTTGCATAGAGGGAATCAGACAACACGTCCAGACAGATTAACAAGATATGGAATGGGAGCCTTTAAAGAGAAGGCTAAGACTACAAGAGGAATTACAATAAACTGGGGCATACTTTTATTATTTGCTTTGCAATTAATGAGGGGAAATCAGGTGTCAACAAGTGCACGGACGCATGGGTCTATTTACGGTGTGCAGTTGTATAAGCCATTTCTCTGTTGATCGTGCCCGTGCGTTTATCACAAAATTAGACGACAATATGAGAAAAAGGTCAACACTGATACAAAATAAACATACAAGAGCCACTGATTAAAGAGTCGCGTGTATTCAATTGTGCGAAAGGAGTCAATTCAACCAAACGATTGCTGTTGATTGGTTGTACAAACAACTCCCCCCCCGTGTACACTATATGACATCCAGTAGATTTCTAGCGGGAACCAATCATAGGGCTGCTGACGCGTCACCGACTAGCGGCTATTAGCACCTTGTTTCATGTAAATGCCATGAACTCAACCAGTTTCTTGTTTACTTCAGTACTAAGTACTAGTACTTCCACAATCAGTTAGTAAAGTCATACCTTAGTAAAATCTACTTTGATGAACGAATCAAAACGGGACTGTAGACATTAAGTTTTACACATTCAAATGTGGCTGCACTAGCGCTAATGGAGCGACCACTACGTACGGGAAGGAACGGATCTTAGCGAAGCCGAGATTTGTGAACCAAACCCAACCCATCGAAGACGGGCCGCCAAACATAAAAATGGAGGGAAATGACAGACAACAAGCCAACAAAGACAACATCACCAGACCAACAAACTTGGAAAACACCACTTCAAGCGCTAACGTTGTAAGAACTGTGGAACCTCAAACTAGTATGTTCCACAAACTAGTATGTTTGCGTCAGCGGAAAGGCTGTCGAAGTAACCACTACATGAAAAACTGCGACGAAAAAGTAACATGGGTTCGTCCCAAATCTAGACGCAAGTGAGCTACAAAAGTAATAGAACCTATGCATCTTGCTTGCTGTCAACTTACCCGTTAAAGATTGAACCGATACATGTACGTACTATAACTTGCCAAACCCGGCCAAAGACGACTACATTACTGTTACTCTTTATTTTGTGCTGTATAATGTATATGCGTTACATTATCTATCATTGTCATTTCTGTGAATTCCTTAAAACATCTACTGTTAGTTTGTGTAACATTACGTAGTGCTACAATCTGCGTAAAAAGTGGGCTTCATTACGTGTTATCTGCTAAGTCGTGTTGGTATTGAAAACTGTTTTATTGTGCCGTTCTTTAAAAAAACAGCCAGCAGAATTATGAAGATACTCGTTCTCAATACACATGCTGCAAACTAAAGTAATGGCAGTCCTACGAAAATTCTGTTTGTAATGTATAAGCGCTTTATGTCGACGTACAATGGGTGTGAAATACATGTTTTCGCCCATCGTGTGCCACCGGTTCGGTGGTAATTGGCTACTTTACAAGTGAAAGATCCGCGTCCGTGGGCCTTGATAAATTATTCAAATTATTCAGCAGCCCTCTGATTGGTCCCCGCTAGAAATTTACTGGATGTCATTCAGTGACGACGCGCCCCCCCCCCCCACCCCACACACACAATCTATCATAGATCATAGCAGGCTGAAATCCAGTCCAGTCCAGCATACTGTAACTAATACACAGTTCATTTTACATTTTAGGCTACTCATTACACTTGGTATCGGCCTGGCTATAACTGTGTTCCTTAGAATAGTTAGGATGAAGCTGTTCGGGTCTGTATCCAGAGCCCCTCTTGGCATTCTCCTTACTCCACCAGGCCTGCGCACGTCTTGATTTGAAGGCGGCGCTCCTTTGTCTGACCCTGTCCGCCTTTGCTTTCTTGTCAGCCCAGCTCAAAAACTTGCTAGCTGGTCTGCCTGGGCGCAACTTGCAACCAAGAGTCGCTAAAATCCTCACGATGGATTCCCCCATTCCTCCCACGGCTACCGAATGCGCCGCGCTAGCTGCCCGTCCAGCAGCATTTCTCTTCCATGTCTTGGACTTGGGTACCGACTTTAAGAGGACTTGATGTGTGGCTTCGCACTTGTTGTTTGATCGAAGGTTGCGTTGTCTCTGCACCATTTCACCCGACAACTTGTACTCGACGGCCGTCATGAGGGCTGCCCTGTCGTCGGCCGTCATGCACAAGTACCGTCCCCACGGTAGGTGTTTGGGACGGTACGTCGGGTCATTCGGTCGGGCCTTGCAAGTTGATGACAGGTCCTTGCATTTTGTATGGTTTCCACTGAAGCAATCTAAGATATTGCTTTTTGCTCCAGACACAGCGGCGTAGAACTTGGCGTGGTCTGTAGGATGACGCCGTCTTGCCGCTGCTAGCTCTGCCTGGCAGCGTCGGGACAGAGCGTGGCCCAGAATGTGACAAAACCGGGTTTTCTTTGCGACGACGCCCGACGTCTTGCACTTAGAGCCAGAGGGGATTGGCTTTCCCAGGATGATCTGCGGACTCAGTTTGAGTCTGAAGACAGCCCTTCTCTGTCCACGCGACACATGGACGGTGCAGTCTTCCTTTTCAATTGAGATGCCTCTTTCCCACATCTCTCCTCCAATGACGCGGTGATCTTTCTCGCCACCGTGGGTGGAGGAGGAAGGGTTTGGATCTTGCAGATTGTCTTCGTGTCGCATCCCTTTTAACGCGCAATAAGTTTCCCGGAGCTTGTTGTATGTTTCTTGCGCTCCCTCGATTACTTTTCCATCATTGTCAAGCAGCAGCTTGGCGAGCACGACAGGTGCGTCACCCAGCATGTCCCATGCTACCTGAGCACCCATCACCCTCTCGGCGTTTCCGATGGGTTCTGCCGGGTCAAAATTCGCAGAACAATGTCCGTCGTGGCCGGGGCAGGGGTTTTCTACTCCTTGCGCTCTTAATGACTCCCCGATCTTACAGAGTTTGTTGGAGAAACCATACCCTATCATCAGCTGGTCATCTGTTTCGGTCTCCATCACGGGCATGGCAGCTTGCGTCGCTCTTTGCGTCACGCCATAGTAACTGGGGTTGTTGTAACAACCGTCGGCGGCTGCCGCGACTTCCACAGGTTTACCCTCCTCGACATTCTTTCCCCGTATCTTCATTACCCCTCGGAGTTTTTCTCTGTTTTCTGCGAGAGCCCTCTGTAAGATCTTTTCAACAGAGTCACACACTGTCGTGTGCAGGTTGTGCATGGACGACAGGCTGGGTGTGCGTACGTCCATACTACTCAGCAACGTTTTGGCGGCGGTTATGCCGATGCCGATCTTCGTTAGCGCAACTGTGAACTGGATGTTCTTTTTTGCAGGCTTTGGTCCTCTTGTTTTTCCGGGGAGGCGGTCGCTTTCCTCGTAGAGCTTGACAGGACCCAATCTGAAGCCGCACTTCCCACACATCAAAGTTTCTTGGAAAACAAAGCCGCGTGCTCTCTCCCCATCAGCGGGCATTACGAAAAGCGGTACCAACCACGTAGGACTCTCATGGGAGTGCTGACTCATGAAGTCATTCATCAAACGCATAAGGAGGGGAACATGAAATGAGCGCTCGTCCGGAATGTTTTCTTCACTGCTATCACATTCCACGTTTAACTTTTCTAGTTCTGTGGGGTTGGACGGAGCAGGTCGCAGCCTACCTGGGGTAGCGTTGACGTCCTCGTCACGTGCCCTTTGCCACACGTCCTTCTTGTGACGCCTTATCTCTTCAACTTGCTGTTCGTCATCTTCAGTGAGAGCCCGTTTCTTTGCTGGACTGTGCTTTGGCTGAAAGCGTCCCTTATGTGGGTGCCCTTTGTCCCGCCTCCTCTTTCTCCTGAAGGTGTCCCCAGCCATAGTATGGAGCCTCTCACTACTCTACTCCGGTATATACTCGCGTTTAAACAAAGACAATATACTCAGGACACACTCCTCTGACACCCACCAGACTGACCGATCGAATGACTGTTTTCGAAAACGTCACGGGGGTCAGTAAAAGTTAACTTTTCTTTCCGGTCTGAACCCCTGTGTACTTTGCCCCAAAACTGGTAGGTGGCGCTTTCACACCAAATATCACTGTCATGTTCTGACACCTGTCAGGGGCTAATGCGTTGACGTGCGATGCCCAAACTTTCACAGATGATGGAGAAGATAGTATTCTTTCATTTAATGGATTATTTTATTAATACATTATACTTAACTGTCACTGAACGACGGGCGCAATAAGAGGACCATTCAGGCTCATCCCGTTTGTATTGTCGGGTGGAGGTCAGTAAGGTGTAGTACCTACATCCGTCACTAGTCAGTGCTTTAATTACACCATGTCACGGCCAGGTGCCGGGTACAATTTGTAAATACGAGTAAGGTGGCCATGTGAATTACCAGGCACAAAGACAATAAATCTAAAGTCATTAAAACAAACGAGAGAAGTTTTATCGTGAAAGTGTTATTCTCGACATTTTTGTGAAGGTGTAATAGAAAGGCTTTCTCTACAACTAGTAATACATGTATCTAACAAGGGATGGAGAGGGTCAATGACGACCTAGAAATGGGTTCCTGTTTCTGATCAAGCGAAGTTTGGTCATACGTCATCTCATCCTTTCATTGCCGTAAAGGGCAAAGTCCCACCATGGTCCAATGCGTAGAATTAAAAGATTAAGCAGGCAAACAGTGCACGTGTGTGTGTACAAAATATAACGTCTTCGTGTGGAAACGGTGTATTTTGGGGAACATTAGAAAGACGACAGTGTTGGATAAGTTTCTCACTCAATCACAATGCGAAGTTCGTCATACATCATGATCATGATGGCAAACAATGTACATTTGTGTGTACAAAATATGACGTC